TAGTTCCAAAATGTGAACTTAATTTTAAAGCAACGGCCCAAAATCCAGTTAACTATAAGTATGATCCACGAGCTGTTGCCATGGGAGACTTCAACAACGATACCTTGCTAGATATTGTTGTTGCCAATTATGCCGCTGACAATATAGCCATATATTTTGGACATGGCAATGGCACCGTGGCAAGCCCAGACATGTTTTCAACTGGTTATGGTTCTGCTCCATACATGATTGCTGTTGGTGATTTTGACAACGATCATCGACTGGATGTCGCTGTCGCAAATTTCGGAACAAATAGCATCGGTGTACTTTTTGGTTTTCAAAATCAGTCTTTTGCAAGCAAAACAGTTCTATCAACTGAATCATCTCGTCCTGTTTGGATCCATGTAGCAGATCTTAACAATGATACAGCACTAGATATTGTCACTGCTAATTACGGCACACACAGTGTTAGCATATTTTATGGATATGGAAATGCAAGCTTTACAACGCCAAGCACGTACTCTACTGGCTATGATTCTTTCCCGTATGCTGTTGTTAGTGGCGATTTCAACAACGACAAACAGATGGATCTTGCAATCGCCAATTATGGTACCAATGATGTCGGTATCATGCTTGGGGATAGTAACAGCACTTTCGCAAGGCAAAGCACGTTCTCAACTGGTCTTAATTCCCATCCTTACTCGATTGTCGTTGGTTACTTAAACGAGGACACCATGCTAGATATTGCCGTTACCAATCATGGAAATAACAGTGTGGGTATATTTCTTGGGAATGATAAGGGAACTTTTATAAGACAAACGACATATTCGCTCGGCGCTGCTTCTCCATATTCTATTGGCATCGGTGACTTCAACAACGACAATCGAATGGATTTAGTCATCACCAATCATGGCACTCACAATATAGCTCTACTTGTCGGGCATGGCAACGGTACTTTTGCAAGCCCAAAACTGTATTCAACTGGATCGTCTTCATCAATCTCCATTGCCATAGGTGATTTAAACAGCGACAATCGTTCAGACATTGTCATCATCAATAATGATACGTTCACCATAGGTATCAAACTTGGTTATGATGAGTTTTTTCCCATTCAAACGCCATATGCAACTGGTGGCACTGCGCCACGCTCGATAGCTCTTGGTGATTTTAATAATGATAACCGATTAGATGCTGTCGTTGCTAATAGGGATAGCAACACCATAAGTGTCTTTATCGGATATGGCGATGGCTCTCTTGCAAGTCAAACGACATATTCAACTGGCTCTTGGCCTGTCTCTGTAGCTGTTGGTGACTTTAACAACGACAACCATCTGGATATCGTCGTTGCTAATCGCAATGGCAAAACTGTAAGTGTTTTTCTCGGATATGGAAATGGCTCTTTTGCAAATCAAACGAAATATTCAACGGGCTCTGTCCCAACAGCTGTAGCTGTTGGTAACTTTAACAACGACACCCATCTGGATATCGTCGTCGCTAATGCTGGTGGCAACACTGTAGGTGTACTTCTAGGATATAGTAATGGCTCTTTTGCAAATCAAACGACATATTCAACTGGTAATTGGCCCGAGTCTATAGCTCTTGGCGATTTTAATAATGACGCCCAACTGGATATCGTCGTTGCTAATTTTGGTGACAACACTGTAAGCATCCTTCTCGGATATGGCAATGGCTCTTTTGCAAATCAAACGGCATATTCAACGGGCTCTGTCCCAGTAGCTGTAGCTGTTGGTGATTTTAATAATGACAGCCAACTGGATATCGTCGTTGTTAATCAGAATGACAGCACTGTAAGTGTCCTTCTTGGATATGGAAATGGCTCTTTTGCAAATCAAACGATATATTCAACTGGCTCTAGACCAAAATCTGTAGCTGTTGGTGATTTTAACAACGACATCCAACTGGATATCGTCGTTGCTAATTTTGCTGACAACACTGTAAGTGTACTTCTAGGAAATAGCAATGGCTCTTTTGCAAGTCAAACGACATATTCAACTGGCTCTAGCCCACATGCTGTAGCTGTTGGTGATTTTAACAACGACACGCGACCGGATATTGTCGTCGCTAATTTTAATGACAAAACTGTAGGTGTACTACTTCGGTATGACAGAGGAGCTCTGGAAGATAAAATCACATTTGCGCCTACCTATGGTTCTCGTTTGCGAAACGTTGCCCTTTTTGATTTCAATAACGATAGCCTATTGGATATCGTTGTTGTCAATTATGGTACTAATAACATAGGTGTCCTTCTTGGACATGGGAATGGCACTTTTGGAAATCAAATGGTGCTCTCAACAGGCTTAAATTCTCACCCTTACTCCATCACTATCCATGATTTCAATAGAGACGGTCAAGCAGATATAGCCGTGGCCAATTATGGTACTAAAAGTCTTGTTACGTTTCTTGGAAGTGGAAATGGAACATTTGAAAATCAAGGACGTTACGGTATAAATTTTGGTTTTGCTCCACTGATGATTGGTGCTGGTAGTTTCAACAAAGATGGGCGTTCAGAAATTTTCGTTGCATATGATGACATCGATTATGTAGATGTGCTGGTTACATACGACATCGGATCTTTCAGTCATGACAATAAATATTCAACTGGCAACTGGCCCCGATCTGTAGCTCTTGGCGATTTTAATAATGATACCCAACTGGATATCGTCATCGCTAATCGGTACGACAACACTGTAAGTATCCTTCTCGGATATGGAAATGGTTCTTTCACTAATCAAACGACATACTCAACGGTCTCTCAGCCATGGTCTGTAGCTGTTGGCGATTTTAACAACGACACCAATCTGGATATCGTCGTCGCTAATAGACATGACAACAGTATAAGTGTATTTTTCGGATATGGTAATGGCTCTTTTACAAATCAAACGAAATATTCAGCTGGCTCTGGCGAATTATCTGTAGCTATTGGTGACCTTAACAACGACGCTCGACTGGATATCGTCGTCGCTAATGATGACAACACTGTAAGTGTCCTTCTCGGATATGGCAATGGCTCTTTTGCAAATCAAACGAAATATTCAACAGGGTATGAACCATGGCCTGTAACTATTGGTGATTTTAATAACGATACTCGATTGGATATCGTCGTTGCTAATTTTGGTGACAACACTATAAGCATCCTTTTCGGATATGGCAATGGCTCTTTTGCAAATCAAACGACATATTCAACTGGTGCTGCGCCAAAGTCTGTAGCTATTGGTGATTTTAATAAGGACAGCCAACTGGATATCGTCGTTGTTAATCAGAAAGACAACACTGTAAGTGTCCTTCTTGGATATGGCAATGGTTCTTTCACGAATCAAACGATATATTCAACTGGCTCTGGACCAAGCTCTGTAGCTGTTGGTGATTTTAACAACGACACCTTATTGGATATCGTTGTCACTAATTGGAATGACAACACTATGAGTGTCCTTCTTGGATATGGCAATGGTGTTTTTACAAATCAAATGACCTATGTAACTGGCACTAGTCCTTCATCTGTAGCTGTTGGCGATTTTAATCGTGACAACCGACTGGATATCATTGTGGCCAATGGTGTTGGGGAAAGTGCCAGTGTATATCTGGGATATCCTAATGAAGGTTTTCTAAAACAAATAAGACTCATAACTGAGAATGGATCTCACCCTAAGTCATTCGCCACTGGGGATTTTAACAATGACAGTCAAACAGATATTGCAATTGTGAATTCAGGCACTAACAAAATCGGTATTTTTCTGAGATATGATAATGGTTCTTTCGCAAATCAAATGACATATTCAACTGGTTCTTCTCCATGGTCGGTAGCTGTTGGTGATTTCAACCACAATACCCTACTTGATATTGTCGTCGCGAATCGTGGCAGTGACAATGTTGGTATATTTCTTGGATGGGGTAATGGTTCGTTTTCAAACCAGAAAACGTTTACGACCGGTTTAAACTCTCAACCAAACGCAGTTGCTGTTGGAGATCTCAACAACGACACCTGGGTAGACATTATTGTCGCTAATTATGGCACAAACAACATAGGTGTGTTGCTTGGTTATGGGAATGGCTCCTTCACAAGTGTCAAGTTTTTTTCAATCAGTTATGGATCTCTTCCATTCTCAATTTCCGTTCATGATTTAGATAATGATGGAAAATTGGATTTCGTCGTCGCCAACGAAGGTGCTGACAACTTAAACACTTTTTTACAGACCTGTTAATATTACCACTGCTGCTTTAAGCTTTTTTTTCATTGATTCATTATTCCTAACTTCTACTTAGCGCTACTAATATTTCTTCTAACTGTTTTTGTGTGTGAGTATACGCTTAGAATTAAAATATTTTACTTCAAGATAAGAAATATCAAGTGAAGCTATGACAATGCGTCTAAATTTGGCAAAGAATCTCGCCAGATGTATGGCATGGATATGCCAAGCACATGATGATGTGTTTCTCTCTTGCTTAATGTTCTCATCATATGATTAGACAAGAGTTTCTTTTTGAGTGATATTACGATCGTAGAAACAAGAAATAATCTACGATTAGCTTTTATAGTTTTTTTTGAGACTTAGAGGAAATTATATTTGACTGTTAAAGTGTTCCTGTGCGGCTTGGCGAATAAGGGGAAAATTGTTTGTATGGGGCATCGGTATTCTTTTGTATAATCTGGTTCATTGTGGGTGTGTATAAAATTGAATTTTTAGATTGCCAAGCATCCTTACGACGCGTTTCAGTCTTGCTTAAAGGCCACTCATTAGTTTTGTCATAACTATGATTTGCTTACAGTGATTGCTTATATATTGCTATTACGTGTTTGCGATTATTGTTTGTAGATATTGTCTTGATTAGTATATATCTAGAATATATGAAAGTATGAAATACGTCTGGTTTCAAAGTGAACATATATCAAATAAAAGAAAGAAAGAAAAAGGAAAAATAACGAAACATGAACTAGAAGATAGTACCGGTTCACATGTTCAATGGTCAAATACCTGAGCTTAAATAATGAAAAATGTAATAAGTGGTCGTATTGGACATGTTGCACGCATTTAACAGAAAAATAAACAGGAAGAAAAAAAAACAATGTTTATCTACTAACAAGATCTAATGATAATAACAGAATATCCTCTATTGAGAAGAAAACTGAAAAAGAAGCGAACAAACAAGAAGGAAACACTCTTCACAATTGGGGTGCCTGAAAGAAACAAATGTTAATGATTAAACCGTTCTTTCATTGTTGTATGAGCTGCTTCTGTGGTTGGTTGCATCCTGGTCAACATATCTTGTCGAGGCTATTTGCGTATCAAAAGACTTTGTAAAGTACGATTTAATATTGTACCAAGAATTGGTCGTGTATTTTTGAAATGTGATCTTGGATAAACAGAATTTTTGCCATATTTGATGATATTCTTTTTTGAAATTTAATAATGGTCCATTTTCGAACGTGTAATGAAGATAAATTTGATCTTTATGTTCATAGTTTTTCGTTTTTCGAATTAATTGACCAAGACTCGAGATTTGTGTTTTGTTTTCTCTTTTTGTTGGTCTGTAAAGTAACATATTACGTAGTTGTTGATAGACTTCACTGTTTAATTCAGTCCATACACTCATAGAATTATATTTAACAAAGAATTTTTTTATATGATGTTGTATAAATTTTGGTGGATAATCGTTAACTCGTAATATTATTTTTGTACTTAATCGTTTCATATCAAAATCTTCCACATTGGAACATCTACGCGCAGCTTGCACTAATGCAGTATAAATTATATTCGCATGAATGTGTCTTGGATGATCAGATTCATAAGGTAGAAAACAGGGTTCTGAAGCTGATTTATGACAAATAGATATTTTTAAATGTCCATTAATATTTTCAATAGTAACATCAAGATATTCTAATGATTGACTGATAGTAATACTAATTGTAACATTTGAATCTGTTTTAATGGTTTCATCAAGTTCTTTCAGAATATCTTCTTTGGATAAATTAGTTGTCATAAATACGTCGTCAATATATCTATAAATATTTATGATTATTAGAGTAAAAAAAAAAGTAACTAATAAATGCAAAATTAACCGTCCATATATTTCATGATGTCTATTTTAGTGTTGAATTAATTTTTGCTCCCATTCTACCATATAAATACTTGCTAAAACCATAGTAAATGGTGAACCCATGGCACCACCTTTAATTGATTAGATGCCTTATTTGAATTTCCGGACATTTCTATAGTTTCCTGTTTATCAAGATATAGGAGGTATTGGAATTGAGTTTTTCGAGCAAGGGTTGGCAAGTGACACCAATATATTTTTTGAATAGATGTTTAAGTTCAAATACTATCGAATGACCATCTGTACCAATTAATCAATATCTCCAATACCTCCTCTAGATCCATCAACAGAAAATGATACAAGCTACAGGAAATTCAAATAAGGCATCATACGCTTTAATTTGTCGATAATACTTATCTTTATAAGCAAATGAATTGGTATCTAAAACAACACATGCTAATTGAATAATAGTTTATATTTTGAGATTTCCAATTTTTCCATTTATTGAATAGTTTTTACAGAATCGCGTAAAAGCAGCAATAGTGCCATCATGTAGTATCATTGTGTATAAATCAGCAACATCAAAATTTATAGATAATGTTGTTCAGGTGAGATCTATACTATTGATGAATGTAATATCTTGTGTCACATGATTATAAATTGGAGTAAGAAGTGGATCAAGAAAACTGGATATTTGTCTAGCAGGTGCATTAATTGAAGCAAGAATAGGTCAAACTGATAGTTCAGGCTACAAGAAACATATGATAGAAAAAATATTTAGATAACAAACTAACGGTTTTACCTTATGCACTTTAAGATTGAAATAAATATGAGCAAATTCTAATATATTTAGATTTGGATATATTTGTTTATATTGATCTTTCATTATTTTTTTATGCTTTAATAGATCATCAAGTAAAGTTAGCACAGATTGTAAATCATCTGCTAATGGATAAATGCCACTGGTGATTTCTTGATATGCGTTTGTTTTTGTCATATAACTTTTAATTTTTTCTCCGTATTCATGTGGATCAATAAAGAAAAATAATTTGCTTCTATCAGTTTGTCAGACAGCAATATTAGCTTTGCATAATTGTCGTTGCATTGATATTATCATCTTATACATATATCGAGCATGTCTTTCAAGTTTTTTTTGGTATTGGTTTCGTATATAGTTGTTGAAGTAGATCTTTTATTGCAGCAAAATATTCAATAGCACTTGTATCACGCGTTGAAAACATGTAATCGGTAAGATTTTTAACATTTTCATTATAGATGTGATTGTATGCTCGCTCAATAATTTTTTTCATAGGTTGTCAATAAAAGAAATGCCTTTGACAGGGTGGAATAAATTTCAAATCTTTATTAATAACCCATGTAAATATTTTTTGAATCAAAACGTGTTCGAATCGATATTTCAAATTTATAAAATGTCTTACAATCCGTCTCAGGTTTGATCTGATTCGCTATGAATATTGCCTAGCGATCGTCTTTACCTAACTACAGACCAACGGAAAGTTTATATTTTAATGTTTCTAAAATGATAGAAATGAGATTAGAACAAGTAAATTAGCGAGTAGAAAGCAAGTGTACATACACCATTGAGCCACATGTGATCACATTAGTTGTAGAACGAAGCAGAATCTATATATGCATCGTTTATTATAAACTTATTCACAGATACATGTGCCAATGAGGCGCTGTGTATATTTAATGATTATTGCTGTATATAAAAATATACTTATTTATCCAAAAAAAGAGTTTGCATTAGATAAGTCCAACTACATAATTTTAAAAATATCTCACCATGGAAACTATTCGTTTATATTATTTCTAAAATTTCATCATTTTCAATGTTAGAGTACCAATGTTTTAGGATTTATGTGCCCATTATATTTTAATAAAAAACACATACATTGTCTTTCTTGAGAAAAAGAACTCTAAACTTTTTGAGAACTCTATATACTTCAAACTAAATTAATTTTATAGAAAAAACTGTGATATATATTTTCTCGTGAATAGAAAACGAATCTTTTATATATTTTTCCCTATAAACGAGTTGCACAATCGTGTTTCGTTTGTATATTGATCGAAGCAATGGAATATGTCTAGGCGCGGTTGCAAGTAAAACCGCGTCGAGACACAAGAAATGTGTCACTGGAGACGTGATTTCAAACAAAAACACGTTGAGATGTGCTTGAAGTCTTAGTCCAGCCGTGTTTAGATGCGGTCTGCGCAAAATCGCGTACAGACATGGTTTTTATTGTCTTTTGACTGAGTCCAGTCGTGTTTCACAAGAAAAACGCGTTTAAACGCACAGTTTCTGCGTTTAGTGTTTACATGTGAATAAGCAATTGTTCATTCGATAATGTTACAATAGTATTGACAAAATATAAACAAAGAAACATATCCATATGGTTTCGAATATTTAATTTTGATTTGCTTCGACGCTATCGTTGTTCGTTGTATCGTCGTGTGACGCCGGAGCTTCGTCGAAAAAAAGATTTCAATTTTTGCTGTGTAATATAATCAGCTAGTTCAATCATATGTTTTTCACGTGCTTCAATAGCTACATTATAGTTGTTTGAATATATCTGAATCTGAATTGTTTATCTTTAATTATCGGTAACAGCTGCCAATTTCTTTTTTCCATTTTTCGCTATTTTATTTCAATAGCGTACTTTTTTTTCACCAGCTGCTATACTTAATTCAAGCATATCATCTTTAAATCGGTCAATTATTTTTAAACGACGAACAGATAATATTGTTTGTTGCTTGTTATCATCATCATTAGTAGAAGATTGTTTCGATCGGCTAAGTATTTTATCAATTTTATTAAGTGAATAATCAGGAAGATTGAATGCTGGTGGTAAACAATTCGAATGGATGCGATATTTTAATATCTCAATTTGTTCTTTCATTTGTTTTGTGGAACTCACGTATATTTTCGAAGACAATAGTGGATGTAAGTTTTAAGGTCAAGCTTTTCCGCCTCCCCCTCCCCATTACAAACCCATAGCAACGGAAGAGAACATTACAGACGTTCCCCCCCCCCCCCCCCCTCCATTACAGACCTAGCAACATATGATGGGGAATATGAATTTGCGGCAAAATCACTGTCACGAAAAAAACAAACAATTTGTCGCAAACTCAATAGAGGTATAGAGGTATAGAGGCATAGTGGTATAGAGGTATAGAGGTATAGAGGTATAGAAGTATAGAGGTATAG